TTCAGGAAATAACCTCTCAACACTACTAATTCAGATCTCTCCCAGAGAGCTACTGGATTTCATCAAAATTGACAAACGTTAGTGACCACCCCCTAGGGTGGCTGCTCTTAGAAATGGCTGTTGTGACCATGTTTTCTGGACCTTTGCCAGCTGAAGGCACAACAAATCCCTGCCCGGGTTTTGGAAATACTTCTGTTACCTCACTGCTACTTTTCTGCCAGGGATAAATGTTTTGAGGTGGCCAGACCCAGAACAACCTTCCAAGGATTCCTGTTACAGTGCTAGAGTATACACTGCTCGTTTCTCCTATTCTTCTCTGCTTTCTTCTTCATTAAGATTATTTTATGTTAAGAAAATAAGTGACATTTGAAGTCCAAAGAGGAGTCCTCACAGCTGTGTTAAGGGTGGTTTCCCGCGTGAACTCTGGTGTCAATAGACTCTGTAGGTCAGGGCCGCAGTGGTGTGTTTGGTTTGATGTTTGGGGAGTTCATTCGAGGGTCGGGGATAATGTAGGGCCTAGTTCCCTGTGCAGATATTTCTATTCCAAACGTATGTATTTTGTCATCTGTGAGCAAGAAATTTGGGTATCATAGCAGCTCTTGGTTTTAAGTTTGTTGTACCCTTTTCTTCATGTTTGTTTTAAGCTCAGGTAAAGGTTACCTCCTCCTTCTATGACTCCAGTTTCCATTCAGGGTATGATATTATTGAATAATTGATTTTCTTTTTAATCTGGGCAATAAATCAGTGTTTCCAGATGGTAGCATGGGGGTAGGGGGTGTAGGATAAAGATGAGCAAATTCTACCCTAAAAATGTTTTATTAACTCAGCAAGTATAAGGTGAGGTTTAACAACTTTCATGGAAATTCCAGATTGACATTTCAAGGAAAAAATGGGCCCTTTTTCTAGTGGACATGAACAAAGAGGGCTTAAATTGGTAGGCAACTTATAACATTCCAGAGGTTAAAAATAACGGATGTAGGTATACTTCCTTGGTGTGATTCTTCAGATAAAACTTTTACCTTTAGCATAGTTTTACTGTCAGCAAAATATACTGTGATGTGCGTGTTGAGGGTAGGCTTCCTGATCCTTCAGTTTGCTCTATTTCTGGCAACTCTTTGTAATTCTCATGACTGATAAGTGAATAACCGTGTTGAATGCGGTTTGCAATCTGGAAGCCTATGATCTCCCAGGGAAGGAGGGATAGATTTAGAGCTGTGCAGCCCCTGAAGGCATGAGACCCCAGTGTGTACAGCACAAACAGAATATAGGGTACATATACCTCGTGAGGTGCTCCTTCCTTCTGCTCAAAATAACATTTATCTAAAAAGGGAGTGCGGTAAGAACCCTTGGAAACTTTTACAAGTATGGGTTTGAGTTCATGGTCACTAAGTTCACCCGACTGCCTTTGTCAAAAATCACTTTGAGTAGAATAATGCCAGAGGAGCATATTTAGTCGCTAGTAATAACCTTTAGTAGTCCACTTGATAAATTTGCTAGCGTGTTTTCATAACACTTGGAAGGGAAGCGAGGACCACTTTGGTCTGTGGCTTAAACAGTAAAGTTGCTGCATGTGACAGGTGTTATCAGGGTGGATGAGTGTGGCTTTTGGTGACAAGGAAAGCATTACCAAGGGACAGAGGCAGGTAGCCCCTCATAGTCCTTTTTCCCATTCGGGAGATGGGGGCTTTCCTCCTCCTTTCTGGTTGGGAGCATTGACGACAGTGAGGAGGCTTTGCCTTTCCTTGGTCAGCGAGCTACCACTTTCGTCCCGTGCTTCCTCCTAAGACCTCCTCCTACCTAGCATTGGCCCTCTGAAAGGAATAGTTACATGGTGGATTCACCCCCTCCTGCCCTGGCCATACACACCCCCACGCACGCATGCTCTCCGCCATTTCCTGGTCCTCGATTTCAGGGCAGCCCATTCTCCTCTGGACTCACTTAGAAATACAAAAGACCTACATCTTTGGCCAGTAGTGTCAGTTGCCCACAGGTTGTGTGTATGAGGCCTTTATGAATGGCTACTTTCTACATACTGTGGGGAAGCATTTGTCAGGCTCTGCAGAGTGATTTTCAGAGGGACAGTCTTCGGGAGCATTTATTTCCGTTGGAAGGTGAGACTTTACCCAAGGTGGAAATCAGCTTTGCTCAAAGACCTGTTTTGTGGTAGATCGTAAAGATGTATTGGGGGTAATTTGACACTCCTGCTGGCAGTGGTTCTCCATTCAGCATTTTAAAACCCATTCAGTTTATATCTTCCTGAAAAGAATTGATTTCTGTGTTTACATGATACAATAAGTTGAATTAGATGGTCTGTTTTAAGGATTTCCGTGACAGCCTCTTTCCCCGAGATGGAGAGATGGGAGGTAATCCACCCGCTCAGTGTGGAATCAAACTGTGGGTTCTCGGTAGCTGAAGAAGCCATGTACTGTATAGTGTTTTTCTCAGAGTATCAACTCACGTTCTTCAGATGCTTTTCTTTTTTTAATGGTGAGGGAAAAGGTGTAATTTGGGATTCCACAGTGCCTTGCATATAGTAGGCGCCCAATAAATATTTGTTGAAGCAAACCAAGTTTCCCAAGTCCTTGCCTCTTGCAGTGACCAAGAACATCTTTCTCCTCTGAAGGGCTTGGCAGTTGTGGCTAAAAAATAAGCAGTATCATTATTTGCTTGAAATCACATACGCAATTTGTATGAATTTCGGTATGTTGCCAAGACATGATCTTTTTCTTATTGTATTTTCTGTAAATATTTCTGGCACTGAACTGTAAAGTAAAGGCGAAATGTAAATACGAAGGTGTACCTGTGTCTCTTGCCTTCTGTGTTTTCTCTTCCTCAGTTAGGGGACAAGGCCCAGAGGCTTTGTTTGTATTTATGCCGATCCTTTGTCCAGAAGAAACCCATGGAATATTGAATGTAATACATTTAGTCAATTAAATTTTAAGGAGATTCTTATCTAATAATGTTGTGTGTGCTTTTGGTGACACGCGGGGTTTGACTCCTGCACGGTTGTTTCTCATTTACTCTTCCCAGGGCGCGTGTGCTCTGCTTTGCCTGACCTTCATAATTTAGATCTGTGGGTTTTCACGCTGGTTTTGTAGAGTTTCACGGAATACCCAAAATTAGATTCGTTTTTAAAAATAATTTTTAACCGAGTTATAATCGACATACAGCATTACATTAGTGTCAGGGTACGACGTAGTGATGTGCTGTTCTTGTACACGATGAGTTGCGTACCTGCGTAGATAAAAGCTACTCCGTCACCGTGCGAAGTCGCCGCAGCGTTTGTGTGATGCCATCACAGCCAGCGGGAGCCCCCGTACGGAGGCTGCTGTTCACCAGGCGGCTGGCTGCCCGTATCTCAGCAACACGCAGGGGCAGCCGTGCTTTCTGCCTGCACCAAACCCGGGCTCTGCCGGGGCTGGCAGGCAGGAAAGGGGAGACGCAGAGGAGGTCACCCTCCCCCCACCCACTGCCCCTGTGACTAGGGTTGGCTTGAGAAGGGTCCACGCAGCCCGATGAGCACCTTCCTGCCTAGACCACGTGTGTGGGGTGGTTGCACCACCCCGGGAAACAGCAGGGAGAATGCTTGACTCGACGGGACCTTAACATGTGACCCCCTGAGCTGCCTCCCCTGTAGCTGGGCGTCCGTGCCTGCTCTGCCCGCAGGACCTCCAGCTGCTCCTTGGTGGCCAGCGACGCGTCAGGCTGATTGCAGAGTGGCCCTGTTTCGGGCTCTGGGGAGACAATGTTCGGGCCTTCCCCACTGTGCTGCTCAGCCCCTTCAGGAGCCAGTACCTAGAGATCCGCCGCCCCAGCCACTCCCGGTCTTGGCCTCTGGGCCCTGAGTGGCACAGCCTGCCAAGGCACTGTTCTTCTCGGACACGCGTTCTAATGCTGTCTGCCCCGGCTGCCTCTCCTGGGGACTCCAGTCATCCCACCGTCGGGCTGAGGCCGTCTCTGAGCCACGGGCTTCCAAGCTCCAGCTCTCCCCGCCCCTCCCCTCCTCCCACCCCTTCCCTGTTTTTTCCTGTGGCTGGCCCTCTTGCCTTTCTCCCTGAGCTGGTGTCCTCCAGTAAGGGGGTCCGTCCACCCCATGTTTCCCCCAGATCTACCACCCACTTCTTGCGGCTGCTCTCCCAGCCTGGACCTGGGTCGGCCTGACGAGTTGCCGTGGCGCCAAAGCCAGGGCTGCATCCGACTGGTTTGCTCATTACCATGGTGTCCTAAGCCTCACCTGGAGGTTCTGACTCAGCAGAGCAGGGGGAAGGGTCGGAATTGGTGTGTTTCACAGACACTTGCCCGTAGTGACTGACGTAGCTGGTCCAGGACCCTCTTGGGGCCTGCAGTGCTCCTGGCCCCCTCCCTTCCACAGGCACCAGCCATTCCTCCTGTCAGGCTCCCTGTCTGGCCAGAGTCTCCCTCCAGCTGGGGGCTGGCCGGGCCCTGGAGGTCCAGGGCCTCCTTCCTGCCACAGGGCCTGGCACATGGAGGTGCACTACTACATGAACGGATGACAAGAGGAGGTGGGAAGAGAGAAGAATGGCATTGGAGAGCTTTCTCTCTCCTTGGGAGACAAAGGAACAAGGCGAACCACTTAGAAGCCCCTCACTGAAAACTCTAATAAGGAGAGGTGCAGAAGTTGCCAGATTAAATATTGATTGAGGGCCTACTGTGTGTTAGAAAGTTTTTAAATGGCAACCCAGTGGCCCAGGCTGGCCCAGCAGACTTGTTTTCTTGAGCCAGCAGTGTTTCAGTGCTTGATGGGGCATTTTTAAATTGGGAGGTTTCACATAAAAATGCAGATTTGGGGGGCTCTCTTGGGAAAGGAGCTGTGGCACTACTGGGCCTGCCTCTCCCACGCAGCAGTTAACTGCCTGAAGCTGCGACAGCTGCCCGCTTTGGATGCACCAAGCTCCATCCAGGTCGCCGCAGCCCCCGCCACCGCCACCAAGTGCGAATGTGGGCACCTGTAGCCAGAAGGACAGGCCGGCACCTGGCTGGCCCCTGAGGGAATCTGTGACCTCAGACTTGAACAGCCACCTGGGGGCGATGTTTGTCCCATCATTTATTCTTCTCTAACTTTCAGCAGCTTGCTGAGGTAAGAATTCTTTCCATCTTACAAGAGGATCCAAGGAGGTGTCCCATGCACCCATAGCATCTTCGCAGGGATTTGGACCCAGGCCTGCCTGCCTGGAAGCCTGGGCTTCTGTTCTTGGCCGAACTGTCTCACTGCCACTGGCTTCCACCCGCTCGTCCAAAACAGCTCTCCCTTGGCCTGAAGGACACTGTGACGTCCTTGTTATGTCACCCGCTCAGTCACAACTGGGCCGAGAACAGAGTGTGGCCCGGCCCACTGGGTCCCCAGGGCAGCCCCACCAGCGCAGCCCAGGCAGGCCTGGCTTAGCCACGCACGCACCATGAGGTACCCCCTGGTGCCGCTGGTGAGCGACCTCACGTTTTCTTTCCTGGTGCTCCGGCTCTGCCTGCCCGTGAGCTTGCTGTTGGTCCTGCTGATCGTCCGGCTCCGCTTCTTACTGAGCCAAGGGGAGCCGCCCAGGCCGGGCCCTAAGCGTGGAGCCGGGCAGGGGATCCTGGAGCAAGTGCAGAGAGAATTTCCTTCATGCGCCTTAACCGCTGGCTGAGACAAGCAGTCACCTGTAGGAGCAAAGGATTAACTGAGTAGTTTAGAGGCCAAGAGTGAGCCCCTGAGTTGGGGAAGCAGTGTGTTTGTGTGCACACCTGTGTCCCGTCAGGGCCACTGCTTGGCACAAATCAGAGGTGGCCCCTGCGCCCAGATGAACTGGTCCAAGGGACCCTTTCCTGTGACTAGCCAGGGCACAAGGCTGGGGGAACAAGGTATGGGCTGGACTTCAGCCCCTCCCAGGCCCTCATCTGGGTACTTTTGTGCAGTAAACAACTTACACAATGGGATATGGCAGCCCTAGGCATTTTTCAGGTGCCAGGAGACCACTCACACTTCCTGCCCAGACTATACATCAGGGAGGCATCTGGGTTCTCGGGGTCGCAAGATCATGGAGGCTGACGGACACTTGTCCTGAGCTCAGCATGCCACCCAGAGGAACAGGGGGCAGGGTGGAGCTGGCCACAGCGGAAGCTGGGGGCCGGTGGCAGGGACGGCCTTCTGCTCCGCGGGTATCCTATCTCCCTGGGCGCTCCCCTCACCACGGGGCCTCTCCCCGGGGACCTTCCACCTCCTGCTTCTCAGTTCCAAGACCTCTGGTCAGCTAGGCAGGGAGGGTGCTGACGTGGGGCATTGAGACAGGGTAAGCGGTTCATCCCCAGATCTGCCCCATGTGCTCACGCGTGGGGGCTGGTGATGGCATCGTCATTGGGAGTTCCTGGCGAGAGCGTCCAGAAAATGTCTGTTTACATCCTCCTATTCCCGGGGTGGGCCGCAGCCCTCCCTGAGGGGCGCAGCTCGGGCGTCGGGGGTGGCTGGTGGGAGTCAGGGCACTTGTCCGTGAAGTGGCTGTAAAAGCCATCTCTCTGGAGGCGAGGACGTGGGCCCGCATTTTAGCCTTGCCCCTTCATCGCTCAGAATAACTGCTCACCTTTCTTCAACACTGTACTAAAGGTTGCACCAAGCAAGATGATGTGCATCATCTCATTTAATCCTCAGAATAACCCTGCGAAGTAATCCTTATCACACAACTGAGGAAACCAGGGCTCGGGGAGAGAAGCCACGGGCCCAGGTCACACACCTACGAAGTACTTGACCGTGTCGGTTATCTGGTGCCACATCCTGGCTCTGCCTCCCCCCGGCTCTGTGACTTGGGGCAAGTCCTCTCTGGGCCTTGGGTTTCTCACCTGCAGGACGGAGCTAATATCGGCCCCTACCCTTTGAGGCTGTGGAGAGATGCGTGTGCAGGGCAGGGCAGCCAGGACGTGTATACACACGGCACAGAGTAGGTGGTTACAGGCTGCGGAATAATCCGTTTCCGTGGCGGTTTTGTCGAGGTGGGAGGAAGCATAGGCCTGGCTTCGGCCGGCTTCTCCGGAGGCAACGTGGCACCTCACCTACAGTCTAAGGCACTGATCTCCAGCAATTCATTCTCCTTGCAGGCCCTGCTCTGAAACCATCCACCGCCTGCCCCGTCCTGATCTTTTTTCAGACTTTCTCCCACATCTCACATGGCCCTTCGCGAGAAGGCATTTGGTAATTTGCAATGACCAGAAGCTGTCCTTAAAGTGAAGGGAGCGGTCTTCTCGGAGCTCTTAGCATTGTTGCCCTGGTCACGTCCTTGTGCCAGGGTCTGGGCCTGCCGGGGCTTGGGGGAGCTGCTTCTCAAGGACACCCTGGCCGGCGGTTTTCTCTTCTGCTGCGGATCTCTTCGTTGGAATCTGTTTGGCCTGGAATCCGGTGCGAAAAGCAGACAGGACTAGCTCTGACCCTCCCTGCTCAGCAGGGCAGTTCCGGGGCCCGGAAGGTGGCCAATTTGAGCAGGGAGTGCCATGTGGCCCAGGAGGACGGAGACGGGGCAAGGGGAGAAGGGAGCTGCCTGGCAAGCTTGGCACTGGGGCAAGAAAAGGTCGTGGGCAGCTGAGCCCTGGAGAAGCCGGCCAGTGGGGACAACACTAATCCCGGACCATGACCGGAGGACAGGATGAAGCCACGTATGCCCTTCAAGGGGAAGGGGCTCCTCTGAGGACATTTCCTTTGTGATCAGAAAGGAATTCGCAGAAGGAAGAAGAGAAACCTTCAGAGAGATGGATTTAGGGCTGAAACATGCCTGTTGAGGGTCCTGCTCACCTCATGGTGATCCTTGGAGCGAGGTGTTAAGTGCAAAGCTGCCTCTGAATCCCCCGACTTTAAACAGGTGCACCCCATGGAATCGCAGGGCACTGGTGCTGGGAGGCTGATCGGAGTCCAGCACCACCACTTCTGGCTGTGAGCCTGGACAGTCCACCTTTCTGAACCTTCCTGTCCGTAAAATACAAGTAACACTAGTAATTGCCTTCAAGACATCGTTAACAGGATTAAATGAGGAAATGCACGGGAAACACTTAGCAGGTAGCATGTGTTCAAAAACCAATCACAATCTGTAGTGAAGAGCAGTCGCTTTAAGCCCTCACACTGATTTGTAAATCCTCATCACTGCCAACTCGGATGAGCACCTGTTGTACATGGTCTACGTCAGTTAAACCCTCCTCCTAGGGCTGTAATAGGCCCATTTTACAGATGAGGAAATGGAGCCCGCCTTTTCTGTCTCCTGCTCTTGGCCTGCAAGCAGAGGGCTCTCTTCGGCCTCCGTTACTTCTCTGTCACCAGTGAGACACCTTAAGAGTATAGTGAGAAGGAGAATTCCCCCAACCCTTCTCCTTTCTCCTTCACCTTGCCCTCCCCAGAGACGTCACGGTAGCGAGCTCATGCACCTATCTAACAACACATGCAGGTTTTCCAAAAGAGTGTGGGCAGATTGTTACTTGTTTTTCCAGAAAAAAAGGGGGAGGAGATCCTACCCTATACATTTCTCTGAAACTTGCTTGTGATGTATCACAGACATCCTGCAAGTCGAAAGCTACATTTAACAGCTTCTGACATGCCACTGGATGGAGAGGCAGCTCTTTATGCAGTGCGCCTGTCCCACACCTCCATCACCCAGACCTCTCAGGATGGACACACACACACACACACACACACACACAGTTTCCAGGGTATTTTATTGCTTGTGCATGTTTCACCACAAAACAATGCTGCAGAGAAATCTTGCACATATATGCTGAGATATTTGTTAATAAATGGACTGGTGGACGAATGGATGGATGGGCCAATGGTTGGGTTTTTGTCTCCTCAGTGCCTGCTCTTGGACCCACCCAATGCAAGTAGGTCATTTGTTCGCCTCTAGGGCCTGTCCCTAGTTAGTAGGTGGTATGGCCACTTTCTGAGTCCTAGGACAACATTTTTTGGTCCCTGGTCACCTTCCATGTCCTCAAGTCTTCCTGAGATCTCAAGGCTGTCCCATATGTCAGGGTTCTGCCTTGGCCCCTTGGTCTCAGACAAGGTTGCAGGGATGCCCCAGGCTTGGCAGGGGGCTCCTTTTGGGTCAGGATGTGACCACCCAAGAGGCCTTATCTTGTACCTCCACAGATTCAGAGGAAAATGACTCAGATTTATGCTTTGACTGGGAGCCCTGGATCAAAGGTCCAGCCCAGTTTTGCTGGGAGGGATACTCCGTAGCTAAAAGGAGGAGAGGCCCTGCTGGTGAGCCTGTTCAGCCAGGTGAGACCCTTCTGGGGGGCAGGGGGCAGGAATGGGGAGCCTCGGGTCCTACCCAAAGCCTAGGGCGGCTGCCATGTTGCAGGTCCGCTTCCTCCACCACGCTGGAGAGCTTGTTGTCTCTGCCATGTTGGGGAACCCTCTGCTTCGTTCTGTTGGAGATCTGTTTTCACCATGTTGGAGGACCAGCCTCCTCTGCCATGAAGACTTCCTTTACAAAGTTCCCCTACCCTTTACCTCCATGACCTCACCTCCCACCACTCTCCTTACTTAGAGTCTTTGCACTGACCGCTCCTTCTGCCTGGAACTCTTCTCCCCCACATCCACTTGGCGCACTCCCTCACCTCCGAGGTTGAGCTCAAATGTCCCCCTTACTCTGCTCTAGATTGTGTTCTGCCACAGCACTTACCACCTCCTGACGTGCCCGATAACTGATACTCCAAACCCAAAGCCCTCCCAGCACTCCTGACACACAGCTATTTGTAGGGGGAATGACACAACGCCAGTGATGATGCTCGCTGATAGTCTTGGGACACTTAAGAGGCAGCAGGGCCTGTGCCGAGCACTTCCCTTTCACAAGCTCATTTATGAGATCCTATGAAGAGGGTATTATTCTTACCTCCATTTTGCAAATGAGAACTCTGAGTGGCAGAGCAGTAAGTAATTTGCCCAAAGTTATTGAACACCTTGGAAAGGCCTCATCCATTCCAGTGCAGTTAAATGTCATCCCCGTGTCAATGACCCCAATGCTCTAATGGTCCTTCTCAGCTCTATTATAAGAGCCCCATGCTTGCTTTAATGTTCTGCTGTCTCTCGTCTTAAAATTTTTAATTTTTGAACGAGGGGCCCCACACATTCATTTTTTTAATGGGCCCACAAATTATGTAGCCTGTCCTGTTTGTGTACAATTAGTGGGGTAAGAAAAGGAGACTTTTGGACTCTGCTCCAGAATCCTGTCCCATTCATATAGAACCCTTCCCACCCCATCATGTATCTGTTCCTCTCTCACCCTTTCAATCCATTGTCATCCCTAGGCCCAACCTTCCATGCTTTTCCAGCCTGGCTTTCCTGGAGTCAGCGGAGGGGTGGTGGTGGTAACCGAGGTGGATGGGAGAGACTCACTGGTGCGGGAAGAGGACTCTGGCGAGGGAGGTGCTTCCCTGGGGTCCCCAACTCCCCTCCTGCACCGATGGACTCAGGAAAGCCTCCAGAGGACCCAGCTCCTCTCTCACTACAGATGATCTCCCAGGGTCCCTGGGGAGGAGCCCGAGCCTGTGAAGATGGGATAGGCACTTGGGGAGAAGTTGGCCACCTGAACTCAGATGAGGTCCTAGGACAGGGCTGGGCCAGAAGGTGTGGGTCCGTATTAAAGAGACGAAGGGGTTCCTGTGCTCAGGAGACCCCTGATAAACACACTGGGCCTAGGCATTCATTTAACAAGCTGTGGGCTCTGGGTCCAACCCCCGGCACTGACTCCAACCGTCCTTGACCATCTTTGGGAATGCCTGACTCTCTCCCACCCTTTCAAAGGGTTGGGGGATCTTGCCCTCAGCTCCCATTCTAAAATTTCACACTCCTTGATTCGCCTTTAGGTTGACTTCAATAACAAATACTCCTTTTATAAATACAGAGCGGCTACCATATGCCTAGTTATAAAAATAGCTCACATTTAGTGAACATCTACTGTGTACCAGGCGCTTTTCCATGTGCCTTATACAGGGGTTTTATCCCTCACCAGAATTCTATGAGGTAGGGTCTTTGGTTATCCCCGTTTCACAGATGGGGAAAATGAGGCACAGAACGACCAAGTGTCTGGCTTGGAGCCATGCCAGGGGAGTTGGGGTTTGAGCCGAGGCCCCGACTCCACTGTGCCGGGTCTTCTCCAGCGTCGGGTGTGGGGGACGTGCAGGGGAGGCAGGGTTCTGCCCTTTGAAGAAATCCCCTGTCCTTACACCCTCACTGGCTGCCCAGGGGCAGCAGAGTTGATGGCAGGAGAAGGGGACTAACCCTCCTGGGGTCCCTTCCTCTGCCACCCCACATCCCACCAGTCATCACAAGGCTCTTCAACTATCCAGAGGAGAGAGAAAGGAGACTAAATTATTAGCTTGTCTGGAGTTTGGTCTCCCCAGCTCCGCTTTTTCTGCCCTGTCCGAACAATTCATCCAAAACACACATTGGAACATGTCCTTCCCCCTGCTTAAAGCCCTCTACGGCTCCCTATTGTCCTAGGGCTAAAGTCTTGAGTTCCTTGTGTGGTGTAGAGAGTTGCCCTTTGGGAGCCGAGCCCTACTAAATTTGCTGGACAAGGTTTCTGTTCCTACCGACAAGGCTACGGTGAACACCCTCGAACTTTTATCTTGGCATAAGTGTGCTTCTATCTAAAGGATAAATCCCGGGAGGAGAAATTGTTGAATTTAAGATCTATGTGTTCACATGAGAGACGATGGACTCTCAGAAACAAACTGAGGGTTCTAGAGGGGAGGGGGGTGGGAGGATGGGTTAGCCTGATGATGGGTATTAAAGAGGGCACGTTCTGCATGGAGCACTGGGTGTTATACGCAAACAATGAATCATGGAACACTACATCAAAAACTAATGATGTAATGTATGGGGATTAACATGACATAATAAAATAAAATTAAAAAAAAAAGATCGATGTGTTCACATTTTGCAGATGTTGCTGAGTTGCCCCACCATATGGTAACACCGAGGGTGTGCATTAAGTACCTGCTTCCCCAGGCCTTTGCCCTACTCTACATGGACCCCCTAACACACACTCTCTCCCTCTCTCTCCCTCTCTCTCTCTCCCACATATTCTCCCCCATCCCCTCACCCCCCACACCCTTTGCTCCACACAGGTCTCATTCTACCTGATGAGATTTTGGCAACCTGTGTTTTCCTGGGAGGTTTGCTGGCATTGAATAAACACTTTTGGTAACAAATATCCCCTGTGGCTGAAGCTTCTCTCGGGCTTTGTCTGGCATTTTCTCCAACTTCCCTGCTCCGTGGAGTCCCATGCACTGCTTGGTCACCTCTGCCCCCTTTGCTGTGAGGGCACATGCTGGGGGTCAGCTCCTGTGCTGACCTAGGAAAGCCAGGGGAGCCACCAAGTCCCTCCCTCCCGCCCCCAGCCACTCAGGAGGAACCAGAGGAGCCTCCCGGGGGCAGCTCAGACCTTGAGGGAGAGTGGGCACTGCCTGGCTCTGCAGGGAGGACATCTGGCCATGCTCCCGGGAGCACCTGCAGCAGAAGGCAGGGGACACAGCTCTTTGGGGCTCCTGGCAGGTAAGCAGCTCTGGATGGTAGTTGGTGGGGGCTGTGGGAAGATGCCCTCCCCGCTCTGGGTGGGAGGCGGAAACCCCAGGCCTCTGAGGGGTATGGATTGAGGCCCCTTTTTAACATTTTGTTCTGTAAGGCAGATTTTGTGTGGGGGGGGGATAAACACAGCCTGTGATCCTTCCTCTGCCACCCCACATCCCACCAGTCATCACAAGGCTCTTCAACTATCCAGAGGAGAGAGAAAGGAGCCTAAATTATTAGGTCCCCAAGAGACATCATCCCTATTATAGCAGCCGTGGCTGAGTGCCTGCCCTAGGGCTAAGCACTTCCCATGAGTTGTCTTATTTGATCCTCGCCACAACCCTGTGAGGTGGGTCATAATTCCATTTTCAGATGAGGAAACTGAGGTCAGAGAGGTTAGGTAACTCACCCAAAGTCACACAGCCTGGAAGTGCCCCATTTTCCTGACTGAGCTGAGAGGTATGTCTCAAGATCCCCAGTGAGATCCTGGGCTCTTCCTAGCCTGGACGATGCTGCTGAAGGTCGTGCTGTTGAAGTCTGTAAGGCACACGAGTAAACTCAGATCAGTAAGGGGACGTGGCTCTCTCTTTGGACCTATGGCATGACACATCTCCCAGGCATGCCCTTATTTTCCACCTCTATCCAGAAGCTCTGGAACCCTGAGTGCAAGCCCCTCCCTCTCCCACCCCCACCCCCAGGAGCCTCAGTGTCTTGGCAACATGAGGCCAATCCTCTCTGTATTCATTTTTCGTGCGGCGGCCACCACAGAGCAGCACAAACTGGGTGGCCTAGAACAACAGAAATGGATTGTTCCAGGGCGCCTGGGTGGCTCAGATGGTTAAGCGTCTGCCTTCGGCTCAGGTCATGATCCCGGGGTCCTGGGATCGAGTCCTGCATCGGGCTCTCTGCTCCTTGGGAGCCTGCTTCTCCCTCTGCCTCTCTCTCTGTCTCTCATGAATAAATAAATAAAATCTTCAAAAATAAATAAATAAATAAATAAAAATTAAAAAATTAAAAAAAAAAAAGAAATGGATTGTTCCACAGTCTGGAGGCCAGAAGTCCAGAGGGTGCTGGCATGACGTGCTCCCTCTGAACCTGCAGGAAGGATCCAGCTTCTAGCAGCTCCAGACGTTCCTTGGCTTCTGGCTGTATGCCTCCAGCCCCTGGCTCCCTCTTCACACAGCCTTCTCTCTGCGTGTCTTTGCATCGTCTCCCTCTGTGTGTGTCCGTCTCTGTCGAAATTGCCCCTTACCATAGGGACACCTCATTGGCGAGGGCCCAGCCTAATGACTGCATTTTAACTTGATTACCTCTGTCGAGACCTGATTTCCAAAAAAGGTCCTATTCTGAGGTCCTGGGGGCTAGGACTTCCGTGTGTAGTTTCGGCAGGAGGCAATAATCCCTACCACCCTCTTGGGTGAGGACTTGGCATAGCCATGCACGGAAAGCTCTGAGCACAGGGCTGAGCCGACCCTGTGTAAATGCTCTGTACGCCGCCACCAAGGGAGCTGGGAATAAGGTGCTTGGTGTACATCGTGGGCCAGGCACAGTGTGAGTCCTTGACACGAATTATCCCACTGAACCCTCACGGCCACCCCTCGAGACAGGCAAGATTTTCATCTAAATGATGAGGAAGCTGTGACTCAGAGAGGTTAAGGCACTTGCCTGAAGCCAAACAGCCTAAGCGGCAGAGTGGGGATCAACCGCGGGCCAGGGGGAGCTCCATCTATCACACTGGGGGGGCCACCTGGATGTTGGGGAGGAGGAGATGTCAGAGGGGGAGAAAGGCAGGGCGGGAATGCTGCACACAGAGCACACAACCTGGGGAGCTTTCTGGGTCCGAGGGGCTGGGAAGGCCACTCAACAGTAGTGAGTAGGTGGGCTGGTTCCCAGGCTCCACTGTGACCTAACCCACGTGACCGATACTCCAGGGCTGGGACCAGGCCCGGCGGGGGCTGAGGGGTGCTGCCCAGAGCGCGGCATACTTCGCCCTATCCTGAGTACGTGTGGCTCTCCAGAAGCTGAGAGGTGGTACTTCCTTTAGAAGCTTGAAAGTGCAGCTTACTCAAGATTCAGGATACTGTCTCCTCCTCTTCGCTTTCTTTCCAGGGCTTCCCTACACCTAAGCGAGGGGATAACAAGTTAGGTTTTCTGTTCTGGACCAGAAGTTCATTTACTCAGGTACAAACTTGTTTACTCATTCAAGCATTATTTATTCCTTCACTCATTTGCTTTTCTACCCATTCACTTAATGGCTCACTGATTTATTTGTGCACTCATTTACGCTCTAACACATTCATATACACAGCTATCTGCCATCCATCCATCCATCCATCCATCATCCATCCATCCACCCGCCATCCATCCATCCATCATCCATCCATTCATCCATCCATCCATCCATCATCATTCATCCATCCATCCATTCATCCATCCATCCATCCATCATCGATCCATCCATCATTGATCCATCCATCAGCCATCCATCCATCCATCCACCCGCCATCCATCCATCCATCATCCATCCATTCATCCATCCAACCATCCATCATCATTCATCCATCCATCCATTCATCCATCTATCATCCATCCACCTATTCATCCATCCAACACTTAGTAAGCATCTACTATGTTTTACACACAAAGCTCCTTATGGCTCCCAAAGTACTTTTTCACCCACTTTCATGGCTACTTCAACTTCCCTGTTGGGAAGGAGGGCTTCTGCACCAATGGGACCTTGAAATACTTGACCTTCTGGTGGCATGGTTCCAGAGTCTCCTCCTCAGGAAGACCTTGGGAAAAGTGGACAGTTGGTCATCTGCACAGTCCTAGTCTCCATGTGAGAGCCAGTGACAGTCACCTGAGACTTGAGGCCCCTAAGGGCCCTTTGTCCTCTGGAGCCCTTCCCATCTTTTGATGCGAGGGCCATGCATAGTCCTGGGCACTGTGGCTCTCCTGGGGTATTATTTCCATTTGTTGGGCTCCATTTCTTGCTTCTCCCTGGCCAGAGCAGACTATGATGATCTATGGACTTGGGTCCCCATCCTTGAGTTGCTCCCTAGGGCCACTCTTCTTCGTGTAAAGTCAACTATGCCCCCTGGGAGGGTCATTAACACTCATAGACTTTGAGGAGGGCAAGGCGGGAGCCCAGAGCAACCTGGGGGAAGACCATAGTGTTCTGTCCTGGCTGGAGAGCAAGAGGAAGCCCTCCTGGCCCCTAGCAGATGGGGACACAAGCCAGTGAAAATGGCAGGAATGCCCCTCACTTGTCCCTAAATGCCCCACTTCCTCGCTTTTTCATGTGCCGAGCTCCTGATCCCTCACACTCCATGAAAAATGTCAATTCCCAGAGAGGCCATTCTGGACCCCCACATTCTGCCACTTCCCTTTCCTGCCCCTTAGCCTCCTCTCCCACCCAGACCCTGCTCTTCTCACCCCCTCAACACAATCATGCTTGCTTGCTTTCCTGCTTCCTGGCAAATGGTACCATCCCCATTTCACGGAGGAGGAAACCAAGACATAGAGCAGGTGGGCTACCTGCTCAAAGAGTGGCCAGGCCAGGGTGAAGATCCCTGAGTCGTGACTGCCTTTTCTAGCCACGTTCATCAGGTACTTTGTTAATTCAGTTTAATTTAAAATTGGATGGCTGCAGGTAATAATGCCAGGCAAATAATATTTCATGACTTTTTCAAAGGTGCCATTTTTATTTCACTGTTGTGTGGTGGGTGGGTGGGTGGGTGGGAGGGGGGGGTCTGTTTGTGTGGGTCTGCCTGTCGGTGGCCCCGGCTGAGCCAGCCCCACGGAGGGGGGGAGGTTGGACATTTGGGGGTGTCTGGGAATCGGGTGCGTCACAGAGCCCCGCAGCCTTGTTCCTGTGTGAATCATTGAGTCAGCCCCACAGGGACAGCAGTCCGGCCACCGAACTAGGAGCCATGAGGGTGCCAGCCAATGGCAGGACCTGCCCTTCCCCCCGCAGCCCAGATGGAGAAGCTGACCCCCCGGTGCCATTTGCCTCCCCATGTCTCATGGGCCCATACCGCCAGGCAGCCGGGGCGCTGTGCAGACATGGGCTGAAGGTACAGCCATCATGGGAGGGGAGCGGGGAGGTTTGGGCCACTGGTGTCTCAAGGCCAGGCCTGAGGGGTAAGGGAATAAAGTGAGGATCTACT